GCACACGGGTTGCATACCGGTCACCCTCCTTCTGGAGGGCTCCGTAGGTACCACAGGAACAAGAGCTGCCCAGCCCAGGAGTTCACCTGGCGGGGCAGAGTCCGGCGAGCGCCTCCGAAGGCTCCCGTAAAACTTGAGGTCAGGCTGAACTTCCCAGCGTCTTCCAGACAGTTCCTGGATCATTGGGACTTCCAAGCACTGGCTGGGAGGAACAGCTTTTTTTTTGTTGTTGGTTTTATTTGTCGTTTCTTTCCCAGTGAGGGAAGAAGAGGAGGCTCTTGGACAAGGAGCTGGAACGCGGGCTCAGGCGTCGGAGCAGCCAAGCCAGGGCTTGTGTGGAGCATCTGTCCCCGTTGTCGTGCACGAGCTGCTCCAGGCATGCAGGGGCAGTTTGGAGGAGCTGCTGCTTTCTTCTCTCCTCCAAGCACGACAGAAGCTGGGGCACAAAGGGTGCTCTTTAAAAACAAAAAGAGGTATAAAGCGGAACTGAATTTATTGGAACACGGGGTTGTTTCGCCGGGGGGTGTGATGGAGGAAGAGAGCTCCAGCTCTTCAAGCTTTGAGAAGCAAATTTGGGTGAGAACAGGCACCTTTTCACTCTTTCAAACACTGTAAATAAGAATAATTAAAAAAAAAAAAACAGAAGACCAAGTGGCCCACCTCCCCTGCCCCTCCCTCCCGACCCGCTCGTCTTCACATCATGCTCTTCCTGTACTGAGACTGTGAGCTCTGTTTGGGTTTGGAGTCCGACTGCTGCAGGTCAAACTGTTTGTACAGGTCCCTCAACTCTTTGATCTCCTGCAACACCTTCTTGGCTTGGCTCCAGGTGGAGGAAGCCTCCCCCAGCAACCTCTCCGATTCCTGCAGGATCCTTTCAGAGTCCGACTTGGAAGAAGACGAGGAAGAAGAAGAAGAAGTGGTGGTGGTGGTGGTGGTGCTGGTGGTGGAATCCTTGGTCTTTCTCTTGCCTTCCCCGTAGCCCTTCACCTCCGTCAGCAGTTCCTGAGTTTTTTCCAGTTTCAGTGCAACCAGTTCTTGGAGCCGGGAGAGCTGCTCCGGTTCTGCTGAGGCAAATTGAGCCTCCAGCCCCCTCCTCAGCACCGCCCGGGGCGCGGGGGAGTCCCGCCGGGACAGGATCTCCTCCAGGGAGGCACATTTGTTCTTCTCCGAGTGCGAGAGCTTTTTGGGGACCTGCGGCGTGTACATGGTCCCTTTGTCAAAGGAGTCCTTGCGCTGCCCAGACCTGTCCCAGGAGGTCACCTCCCTCCTCGGGAGGCTCCCCGTCCGGCCCTTCTCCGAGGGTTGGACCTTCTCGGACTCGGAGCGGCGCCGCCCGGCAGCGAGATGGGCCATGGACTTGTCCAGGTCCACCCTGAAACTCTCCTCGCAGGTGCCCTGGTCCTCCGGGGAGGCGTCCTCCTCCTGGATCAGGTCCAGGGTCAGCATGCCGTCGGAGGTTGAGGTAGATGCCTGAAGAAGCAGAGGAAGAAGAGGGGTTGGGACGGGCGTCAGCACGGCTGCGGCTGAGCAGGGATCAGGGAAGCACAGAGTCCTTTGGGTTGGGAGAGAGCTCCCAGCTCCTGGAGTCCACCCAGGTCCCCACTGCCCCGTGTCCCTCACCCCACATCTCCACGGCTTGGGAACCCCTCCAGGGGTGAGGACTCCACCACTGCCCTGGGCAGCCTGGCACAGCCCTGGGCAACCCTCCAGGGCAAGAAATTGTTCCTCAGGGGCCACTGAAACCTCCCCTGGGGCAACTTGAGGCTGGTTCCCCTCATTCCATCACTTGGGGACAAGGGATCTCACCCCAACCCTGGCTCCAGGCTCCTGTCAGGAGGTGTCAGAGCCAGAAGGTCTCCCCTGAGCCTCCTTTGCTCAGCACCCCCAGCTCCCTCAGCTGCTCCTCCCCACACTTGGCCTCTAGAACCTTGCCCAGCCGCCTCGTTGCTCCTCTCTGTCCTCCAGTGAGTGTCCTTTATACCTGAGTGTCTTCTACCAAAAGTCTCCTCTTGTTCCCTCACTGTCCTCTTGGAAATAAATGCCACATGACTCCCAAGTGTCTCTTCTACCTGAGACACTTGTCACCTGCCCTGGGCTGCAAGCAGGGACCTGGACTGGTGGTGACCAAGCCCTGGGGGTGCCGGGGGTCTGGTTCTAGCTGAGATCCTGACAATTTTCAGTCCAGGGCAGAGCTCAAACACTGAGTTTCCCAGCATCTACTTATAAAGGAAACAGCTACAAGGGAGACTGGTTACAGTGGGTGCCTGGGACTTTTCTGGTGTTGTATTTCCTGGACCTACCACAGCCATCAAGTGGCCCCGTGTCGGAGGGCGGCGGGAGTGCTGGATCTTGGCTCTGTCCCTCGTCGGGTGGGCGAGGTAGCTGTCCTCTTCAACAGTGACCTGGAAGGGTGGCAGAGGCCCCTGAAGCTCTGGGAGCAGGGGGGATACCTGCCAGTCCTCGTTTCCTCACCCAGATGCACCCTGGCAGATCATTTATCCCTCCAGGTTCCCGTTCTCTCGCCACCCAGGGGTGAATTTCTCCCACACACGTCCTGGCTGGGAGGCTTTGGGAAAGGCTGCTGGGCAGGAGTGCCCAAAATTTGGGTTGCAAAGAGTGAATCCTGAACTCAAATCAGAATTCTGGAGTGGAAACGTGTGTGGAAAGGAGAGCTGGGATCCCCACCTGAACCAAACCAGGGGTGGGGTGAGGGAAGTCGTGTGATCCCGACCCGCTGAGCTGCTGGAGCCTGCCAGGAGCTCTGTGCTGGGCCAGGGAGCTCCAGGAGTTACCAAACAGCTCCAGCCTGTCACCCCCCACCCTTGGGGGGCACCCCCGGGTCTGCAGCACCTGCCTGTGCACAGCACCAGCAGCACACTGGTCCCAAGGGCCAGCACTGGCCCAGGGCTTGCAGGTGGGACTCGCTGCTCTGTGTGCTCACCAGGAGGTGCAGAGGGGGTGACCTTGGCCTGGAAGGAGATTTGCAGGTAGGGACAGCAGGGGAGGGGTGTGGGAATCCAGCCTGAGAAGAGATTTAGAGTGTTTCCCCTCTGTGCCTTGATGGGATCAGATCTACTTAAGTCATTGCTGACAATTATCTGTTGAATCTGTTTGTGGAGGTCACAGTGACAGCTCCTTGGAGCCACCTCTACCACCGTTTGCTGCACTGCTGTCTGCCTCACAGCTTTTCCTACCCTCTGACCTCCCTTTTCCTTCACAACAGGGTTTTTTTTTATTGCCCTTTAAGAGAGCAAACAGCTGCTTTGTTCTTTTCCTTTCCCAGTTAGAAGCTGGTGGTGGGTGGCAGTCGCTTTGGGAGCATCCCACCCTGTGGACGTGCTCTCAGGGAGCCAGGACCAGGGTCCTCCTGTGCCTCACCCCTCTGGCTGTCCTTTATTTTCACTAAACAGAGAGCCTGCCTCCTCTTGGCAGAAACAAACCCTGCTGAGAAGACAGGATTAAACGTTGTGGCTTTGACCCGTGAGCAGCAGGAAGGGATCTGCAGAGTTTAAGTGCCCGGTAAGTCCCCTGTCCTTCAGCCAGAGCAGCAGAAAGGAGCCTGTCTGGTGGAGCTGGGGGCTGGGAGAGGAGGGGGTGGCAGGATGAAGGTGGCTGGAGATGGGGTTGACAGATGGTGCTGGGCTATTAGGGTGCTCTGAAGATAGCAAGGGACTAGATTGGTTTTCAGTTAATGCCTTAATTCAGTTCCTCTACTTAAAGCTCCTTTGCAAACACGAGCAGGCTGCGTGTTCCTTGAGGAACAGCAAGGAGAGACTCTCCAAAGCCCTGGGGAACCTTTCCAGCCACGGTTCCCCCCTGCCCTGAGTGGGACCAGGGTGGGCTCCAGAGAGGAGCCCTCAGCGTCCTGCTCACCTCATCTAGGATGCGGTTTTTAGCACGGGTGATTGCAGAGTTGAGGGCGTTAATCCAGGACTCCTTCTCTTCTGGACTCACGGCCAGGAAGATCAGATTGGGTGCCTAGGAAAGAGGGAGTTTGGGTCAGGGGTGGCCATGGGCAACCCAAGGACTGTTGGCACTCCTCCCTCCCCCCGTGTGCTCGGCTGCCAGCTGCCAGGAGGGGCAGGAGAAGCTCTTTGGCCTTGCTCCTGGCACACGTTCTGATACTTTCATAGAATCTTAGAATCATTGAATGGTTTGGGGTGGAAAGACCTTAATGATCATCTCATTCCAAGCCCCCTGCCATGGGGAGGGACACCTCCCACTAGACCAGGCTGCTCAAAGCCCCATCCAACCTGGTCTTGGGCCCCTTGGCCAACAGTGATGGCG